GAGAATCTGGAGGCAGCAAAGAGAAGGCGACGAGCGGCCGAGCCCGCGGGGCTGCGCTGCCCCTGCTCCCTCCGGGCGGCACTTGGGGCTGGGTGGCCACAGCCCAAGCAGCTGGGGGGGCAAACTGCCTTTCCACATCCCTCCAAGTAGGGCTGGAGAAGCTCCACCAAAGTGCCAGGCCCTTCCAGCTGCTTTCCCAGTGATGAGACACTTGATCCATCCCCTTGATAGCCTTGGTCGCGTCCCCGCACCCCTGCTACACCCCTACTTACTGACAGGTCTCAAACAGTCAGGAAGCCCCAGTGAGCACCAGAAATACATGTTTTTGTCCTCTCTGGGTGATCACTCTGCTGCTCATGTATTATATTTGCACTTGGAATACATGCACCAGGGAGCTGACAGGGGAGCAGCAACCAGAACAGGTTTTTCTGGACCATGAGCCAAGAAAAACCATCAGGAGAGGAGTTTCTTTTGGGGGAAATGGTGATGCAAAAAGTTCAGTTGGGCTTGGTACAAGAAAAGAGCAACCAAAAGGGGTGAAAAAGGGTGAAATGTTTCATTTGGGAGCCTGAATTACATCTTGAAATTGTGCTGGGGTACATGTGGTGAGGAAATGTCAGCCCAGAGAATGTGCTAAATCCTTTGGAAACAACCAGTGGGAGGGAGTCTGGCTTGGGAAGGAAAAAAAAATAAGAAATCTATAAAATAGGAATTCAAGAAATGTTTGACTTGATGTTCCTCTGCCTGGTTTTGTGCCAGCCCAAAGGAGAAAACCCATGTGGTTGTGACTCAAAAAATGCTGAGACCCAAAAATGCTGAGACCCTGACGGGTCTGGGACGTGGGTCCTGCTGCTGCCCTGGCATGAGCCACCAGCCCCTGCCAGTGGTCCTGGGGATAATACCCAGCTTTTAAGGGATGAAGGGTGTTGGGCAGGGGAGCCAGATCTGGCTGCTGGGGTGATTCCTCGTCAGCATCTGTCCAGGAAGATTAATGCCTAAGTAGGTTGCTGGGTGGCTGCCAGCAGCGCTTTTAATCATCAGATGCTGTTCGAGCAACCACGGATGGGAAGTTGCCTCCTTCCCAAAAGGAAAATGAGTGAAATAAATCATAAAAAAAAAAAAAAAGAGAAATATGTTGAGGTGAAGTAGCTCGTTCGCTGGGGATGTTTGAGGTGGTGACAAACCCATATGGGGGTCTGGCCCCCAAAACCTCTCTGAGCTGTGGCATCGCCCGCGCTGGGTGCGCGGCTGGGGAGGGCGGTGCAGCCAGCACAGCTCCTGCAAGAGATGTAAATAAAGGCCTCAGGCTGGTGCTTGCAAGGTCTTGGAGATTTAAAGAAAGGGCAAATTATTCCCTCCCAGGCCGGGTTTAGGGGTTGGAGCCCACAGGAGGGGGTCCCAGCTCAGGGCACAGCCAGGGCTGTAGCAGCAGCGCCGGGGGAAGCGTCACCCGGCGCCTCGTGGTGATGTCACCCATCCCTGGCATTTGGGATCCAGTGGGAAACTGCTCTTTTCCATCTGCCAGCACTCAGCTCCAGACTGCTGCCTGATCCTGCTGCCAGGTGGCTTTGGAGTTTGCACTCCCTTCTCCTCCACCTGCAGAGAAGAGGAGTTGAGTTAGGAAGGAATTACGGATTCAGTGGGGCTGGTGACCCTGTCAGACTGCCAAACCATCCTCCTCCTCCTCCACATCCTCACCCTCATCCTCATCCACATCCTCATCCTCATCCTCATCCACATCCACATCCACATCCTCACCCTCATCCTCATCCTCATCCTCATCCTCATCCTCATCCACATCCTACCAGAGGATTTCTTGACACCAGCCCAGCATTAAATGGGAGCTTAAAGGCCTGGAGAGGCTGGACAGGGTAGGGGTGTTATTAACAGAGCCAAGGCAGAGTGTGCTGGGTCCCCAAAATAAGCTGCCTAGGGGAGGGAATGCCTCATGAATGGGGGCTGCCCTTGCCAGGGGGATCCCCAGAAGGGTAGTGAGGGCAGGGGCTGGTGTGGCTGGAGCTGGGATGTGCCAGGAGCAGCTGTGAGCCCAGGGCAGTGTCCTGCCCCATCTCAACCCCATCCCGAGTGCTGGGCATTTTGCTGCCACACTGAAAACATGTTTCTCCTCCCCAGCACTGCAGAAAGGCTCCTCCGGGCAACCCGGGCTGACCCCCCTAAGAGGATTGTTGGGCTGTTAGCAGATTGTCCCCTGGGGGGGGATATTGGGAGCACTTTGCTGTCCCAGCCCTTGGGAAGGGATGCTGGAGGTGCCACGGGTGCCTCCTGCACGCAGAGCCACGGGGATGCTGGGGCTGCCCCATCCCTCTCAGGCAAAGGCCACCAGCAGAGCTGAGGACAAAAATGTGGGATGCAGACACCCAGCCAGCCCAGGATGGGCTCCCAGAGACAATTTTCCAGGGTTGGGATTTGCACCAAGAGAGCACAAGGTGGTCAGTGCCAAGCGCCGAGCGTGGGCCCCAGCCAGCTCCCCTGGGAAAGCTGCTTCCCCCAGAGCTGGAGGGATCCCAAGACTTGCATTTATTTAACCTGAAAACGTAGCAGGGTGGAAGGAAATCCAGGAGAGGGTATCAACAGTGAAATCCCATTATTGGCCATGAAATATGTATGGGCTGGAGCTGCACGGGAAGGGCCGGGGCTGCATCGGGCACAGCCCTGTCTGACATGCCTGGGCAGGGAGCAAACCCCTCCCTGTGCTGCTCAGCTCCTGGGGCTGGCAGAGGGAGAAAGTGCCAAAAAACACCCCAGAGTATTTATCATTCAAGGAGCAAGTCTCTGCTGTGCTGCCTTGGCTCCTGCCTGGTGCTGTGCCCGTTGTTCTTCCCTCCTGCTGCTCCCATCCAGCCCCTCAGATCCCCATGTTGAGCCTTTGGGGGATATTTTTCCCACCAGCTGCAAGGGTGGAATTCCAGGTGAGTTAATTTTCCCTCAGTGCTGCTCCCACTGCCACTTCCCACCACTTTCTGCTGCTCTCAGGAGGGCAAAGAAACGGAACAGCCGAGCTGAAAACCCTGGTGGGAAGAACTGGCTGGTGGGAAGTCCTCAGGGAGGGTGGGGATGCCCCAAGGTGGGCATTAATCATGGCTCCAATTCATTGTGGGTGGCTGCTGGAGAAGGAATGGACTCCATGGAAGCAAGAGCTCAGCCATGAGGCCACAGAAATGGGAAATGGGGAAGCCCCCCCAGCCAGCTCCTGCCCCCAGGCCTGGGGGGCTGCAGGGCTGGCCAGGAGGACTGTGCTCCAGCACCAGGAGCTGCTCCAAACCACTTCCCAGCCACCCAGGGGAGACTCTGCCCTGCCAAAACACCCTTTGGGGTAAAAGCACATCCAAAGTGGGGAGTTTTCACCCCAAAACCTGCTCCCAGCACATCCCAGGAGCTGCTCTGCGCTCCCCTGTGAAATCAGCAGGCAGGTGGTTCCCTCCAGCAGGGAGGGTTTGCAGGGAGTGGGGGCTTCAAAATGGTGTTTTGAAGCCCAACATGAAAGGATTATTTTATAATTAGCTGTCTTCTGCAGCCCTGGCCTGTTGAAATGCTGATCTGCAACCACACACAGTCCTCTGCTTTTCAAACATCATCTGGAAGCTGATGAGTTTTGCATTACTGAAGAGCCACCCATTGAAGTGTCTCCTCAGCTCAAGACCTTTGTCACAGAAATGTTAACATCTCATTACTGATTCCACACACACACACTGGTAATTACTCTTACTCTAACTTTGCTTACACCAAAAAAAATTAAAAGTAAAAAAAAAATAAGATGGTGGAAGGAATTTTCCCTCAATGGAAGGATCCAGATATTCCTGTGAGCAGCAGCTGGAGGATCCTTTGGCTCTGGCACAGGTGGGAGTTTGTGCTGGGAAGATCAGAGTAACCTGTGATGCCCTGGGGGGGAATTTTCCTTTCCCCCAGGATCCTGGCTGCGTGGGGAGTGGGTGGGAATAGATCAGGGAGGCCCAGGAAGTCAGTGAGAGGAGCAGGATCCATCCCCACCACGAGGAGCATCCGACCCCACTCACCGTGTCCATCCTTGTCCACATCCACGCAGGGAACACCCAGGCTTAGACACACTCAAAATTCCACTCCTGCTCCGTGCCAGTCATCAGAAATGCTGCATTTATTAGGAAATGAAGCCAAGAGAGCAACACAGAAACCTTTTTTTTTTTCAACATGCCTTGAATAGCCAGAACATTTATTCTAAAGGCCACGAAATTCTGACGCGTTGCGGCCAAATAATGATGAGGAAAATGTTCCTGGCTTAAGGAAAACACTCCCAACCCCAGCAGAGGGGACATGCACATTGCCATTTATCATTTTAAGCTCCACATTTGCATGAAAATGTATCATTAGACATTTGAAAGAGCTATATCATACCCATTTTTTGGGGGCAGGCTTTGATTTGCAGAAGAAATTTCCAGCCCGGATGTGGCTTTTGTATGAAATTCCATTATGTTGCTTAGGGATAAAATAGAAGAGGGATAGAAAAGGAAAGGAACTCAGTGAAATGCAGCTGGGTTTTTTCCCTCAGGCACATCCCATCGTGTGGCTGCACCAGTAGGACCCGGGAGCCTTTGGTCCCTGCCAAGAAAAATGGTCCCAAAGTGAGATTTGTGGATTGTTGGGGTTTTTTTGCAGTGCGTTGGGTTTGGGTTTGTTTGAATTGACCACGTGATGAATGAACATTTTATTGATCCTTTATACTTTTTGAGAGCAAAATATTAATAATTCTTGAATAAAACCAAGTCTTTTTGTTAATAAATGCTTGGGTTTCTGTTACCTTTCAGACAGCCCGAGGACAGAGTGGTGCTGGTGAATCCTGCAGGCTTGGGGGCCACCAAAACCTCTCGGCTGAAACCAGGAGCAGATGAGTCCATCTCCTCTCCCTGCCCAGTGAGCAGGGTCCATCCTGGGTTTGTGGGTGGCTCCCACACTGAAATGCTTGTTTTCTTGCAATTTTCCCCTTCCCTTGGGAGAGTTTTCCTAATGTTTGACCTGAAGGACCATTTGTCCTCCTCAGAACTTCATTTCTGTTCCCCATGGAAAATATTCACCCTGCCTGACCCAAACCCACCGAGCCTGAAACCATCATTTCCAGCCACAAGCCACCCCAAAACACCCCAGCACTGCCAGGAAAACTCTCCTCCAAGCACCCATGCACTCCAAAATAACTTTAAATATGCCTTTCAAGTCATCCCTTCCTTGTTTAAGTAGCTAATTGGTTATATCTGCTCTGGGATGTGCAGGACTGATTTATGGAATCACCCCTGGTAGTCATGGAGAGCTGAGTGCTCTGCCAACCAGCATCATTTTTGACTTGACATCAAGTGTTTCCTCATCAGAAATGCCTCTTGGGTTGGAAAGCAGGTGGATTGGGATGCAAAGGGAGGGCTGTGCTTCTCCATCCCTGTCCATCTGTGTGTGTCTCCAAGCCCTGCCTGTCCCTGGCCATGCTGGTGCCACCTGCCCAGGTTCTCCCTGGTGCCAGGAGCTGGTGCATTTCTGTGACCTCATATGAAGGATCCCCCCAAAAGAAAGAAAGAAAAAAAAAAAATCCCAGTTGCTAGGGAACCAGGAGGGAGATTTTTCCCCTAAAGGAGTCCAAGAGAAATTCCCTGGAGTTCAGGTCATGTGCAAAGAGGTGCTCGGCCAGCAGCTCCTGAGCCTCTGCACAGCTCCTCGGGGATGGTGGGGCTGCTCCTGCACCCTGGTGCTGCCATTCCCTACTGGCACATGGAGAGGGAAGCCATGGAGGATGGGAAGGACAGTGATGGAGGATAGAGAGGGCAGAGACAGAGGATGGAGAAGTAATGATGGAAGATGGAGAAGGATATGATGGTGGGAAGATCTATGATGATGGCACTTGATTGGCAGGAGCAGAGTAGAATCCCAGACTGGTTTGGGTTGGAAGGGACCTTCAAGATCATCTAGTTCCAGCCCCCTGCATGGGCAGGGACACCTCCCACCAGCCCAGGCTGCTCCAAGCCCCATCCAACCTGCCCTTCAACACTGCCAGGGATGGGGCAGCCACAGCTTCCCTGGGTACCTTCTGCCACTTGCTGTCAGGAAGAACCAAGGGCTGTGGTTGTGGCCACTCAGCACCCCAGGAGAAAGTGGGTTCAGCTTTCATGCAGTCTCACACCAGTGGACATTATTGATGAGCCCCCAGTGTTCCTGTATCTTTAGGCTTGGAAAAAGAGATAAAATATGAATGATGCTGAGAAACCCAGGGTGAAGGGACTCGGGGAGGGGTGCTCTTCATCACCCAACCTCTGCTGCTTCTCCCTGGCCCCGAACACAGCTGGTCTGCAAAGCAGGGAGCTCAGTCCTGCTCCCCAGGGTGCTCCTCCTGCTGCCCTTCCCAGAGCTCCAACCTGAATCCCTGTGTGTGGCCACAAGTGATTTTGGAGCACTGAAATGACTCTTACCCACGTTGCCTCCCAGCTCAGGAGCCCACTGGCCTCTCTTGCTAAAAATAACTCTGGCTTTGCCTATTTCATTTTATTTATTTTCTGAAAATATTCCAAATACTTTCCAAAGCCAATCCCTAGAGGATGCTATTTTCATCTCCTCACTCAGCCAAGGAGCCAGTTTGTTTTCCACCCACCAAAATAGCCACGAGTTGACATGGCTTCATCATTTCTTTTCAGGTTGCTTCCCATTGGGATCCCCAGGCAGGCAGGGAAAGGCTCCCTGGTGCTGCCCTGTCCCTGGGCAAACACACCTTGGATCTTCTGGAGTTGCTGGTGCTCTGTATTTTTTTTCCCTCTTCCCTGTTTCTGAAACATC